ATTTAAAATAAGCAATAACGAAATAAATTTTGATATTTTCATGTCAAAGATGTATGTGAAAATTCATTAATATATATTTTTATAAGTTGTGGGGATATTCAAACTGCAGACATAACACTGAAAAGAAAAACGGAAAGAAAAAGAGAATTCCATAGATTACAGACACAGAGAGGGCAATGTTATTTCCAGATTGGAAAAGCATTCCTAACATAATATATTAATAATATATTAATCGAGTAAAAAACAAAGCTTTTAATAACACCACGATTAGGTTTTCAATTCAATGTAAAAAATTTCTGTTTCTTAGAACTAAAGTGACTTCAAAACCGCGTGGACGTTTGTTATCATGATCCTCGCTATCAACAGCCTGAAAAAACTACTACCCCCCCCCCCCCCCCCCTGCGATCACACACGAAAAAGAGTTCTCGGTGGAAACGCCCGCGGATTTAAATTGATATTACGAGTAACTTATTTTTGTTTGACATCTTCATTTTGGTTGTCTTTAATATCCATAGGCTGTCTGAAGCCATTTATATAATTTCATTTGCACTGACAAACACACACACACACACACACACACACACACACACACACACACACACACACACACACACACACACATACACACACACACACACACACACACACATATACATGTGTACATATATATATATATATATATATATATATATATATATATATATATATATATATATTGACATAATATAGTGCTAACGTATATGTATATATATTTTTTTTCCTTTGTAGTAAACGTTTCCGTTACATTAGCGTATAATATGAAAATTGTAGAGGATGAATGCTAATTGCCATTACACAGATACCCGCTTTTTCATGTAAAACAGAAAATTTACTGATAATCGCATTAACTCGTGCGCCTGGCAGTGTGTCTTGCATCTTCTGTGCAAGTACCGTGGATTTGGATTAACTTTAATCCGGAATTAACATTTATGACGCGTACAGAAATCGCCTTATGCTGGGGCCTCGTGTTTGCTTCTCGTAATGTTGCATATATAATATCCTTTCCCTATAAAAATCTAAAAAGTTCTATCCGAAAATAAGCAACTCTCTGTACGGTTTCTAGAAGAACAGCTTAAGTAGACTTCACCGTATTCTCAAATCCGTTGATGATGGGAAATCATGTGGGAGCTACATGCTGTACCTCACTACAATAAGGCGGAAATGCTATGTAGATAGAGCTCACACACACACACACACACACATACAAGTACGACACATGCACACAGAGATGAGAACACATGCATAAGGACCAACACACTTACAAAGGACAGCAATTAAGATAAACGGAGGGACAAACAAGCACACACACATACACATACACATACACACATACACATACACACACACACACACACACACTCACGGACACCCTCCCCTCACAGACTAATGCACATATACACACACACACATCAGTACGCCCCCCCCCCCCCCCACACACATCAGTACGCCCCCCCCCCCCCTCACACACACACATACAGAGTGACGATCAGAAAGGCATTATTCACAGCAAGTCCTTCTTCACAAATGGAATCACCACAGTAACATAGTCAGCAATGAATGGTGAAAACACTCTACCGTGTTGATACTATGGTAGAAAAACCCACAATGTAAAACTAGATTTATTGAAAATGAGACAACCCACCTGGATATCATCCACCCACAGTTTTACATTGTGGGTTTTTCTACCATAGTCAGCTATATAACCTTCATTCATTGTGTACGATAGCCTTCGGTAGTCACCAAATGACAAAGACTTTACCAACAAGAATACGTGCACAAAAGCGGAGGGAAATAATCAGAATGGGTGATAAATAACGCATGAAAGAAAGGAAAACACTCCACAGACATATATTTAGAGGTTCTTTGTGACTTTGTTGTTAGCTTGTGCGAGTAATAAGGTCTCGGGGACAACAAAAGGAAAGCTTATAAATCGTCTAATAAAATTACTAGAAGGAAACTCACCACAACGCAATGGCATAAAACACACATAAGCACACACACACATTGGCGTGTACATAAGCACGATTTGTGTAAACCATTAGACCAATAGACCACGTGGTTGTTTAGGGCTGTTTAACACGTGGCTCTAAGTCAATTTAGAACCATCACGCCAGCGAGGGCCTAGATGACGATTATATCTGACCACGTCTGACCCTTCAGTTCGCTCCCAGAAGTCACCGTGAACAGGTCACCACCAGCTGGACACGTGACACCGCGCTCAGCTCTAGCCCCGTGACAACACCTCGTATGTTCCCTTTACTGTGTTGTACTCCTCCTTAATAAAGTTATAGCCGTTATACAACCATGACCACCCTGCTAACCTCTATATAAGGCATCTACAGCCTTTTAGACATACGCACACGTACTCACTCACCCTTTCCTGCACGTGATCCACCACGCGAGTGTATTCTGTGTGGGCAGGCTGGCCATACCAAGCCTTCAGGTGAAGAATAGGCTGGCT